TGTCGAAAACCACCTGGCTCCACTTAGGGCATCAAGAGTATCATCAAATCTTGGCAGTGGGAAAGAGTCCTTTTCGGCTATATTGTTAAGAGCCCTGAAGTCCACACAGCAACATTGGGTCCCATCCTTATTCTGGACCAACACAACGGGAGCTGACCAGGGACTATTTGATTTCTCGACTATCCCCTTCCCTAATTAGGCCATCCATGTCTTTCTCCATCTCTTGTCACTTTCCCGGAGCTATTCTCCTCGGAGGGATATTTATTGGACGGTGATTGCCTGGGTTTATTCTGTGCTCCACAAGGTCTGTGCAGCCGAGGTCATGATCACCTTTTGAAAAGACGTCTGCATAATTCGCCAAAAGTTCCCTAACCTGAAGAGCCTGTGATGATGACAAATGGACTATGCTCTTCTTATAGAGATCAGTTAAATATTCTGGGAGAGGATGTCCTTTCTTTATGGTTGTATTTCTTGCCTTAACGTTGACTAGCTCTACCTCCTGGCACACACCCAACAATGCCTCTTCCTTAAGTGTCTGCTCACATTTAGAGAAATTAGCCAGTGTTATGGGTACTACTTGATGACCTGACACAAGTGACCTTCCAATCTTCACATCCACTAGCCTGGATGGGTCTTCCACTGCTTCCACAAGCATCAGGCTTTCTTGGGGATGCTCTTTTATTCTATCCCAAATTATCTACACTTAAGTGCTATGACTTGCAAATCAACAGATGCAGCAACACTTACCGGAATTTAGCCTTTGTTCTTCTCAAACGTCATTTTATCGAAGTTAACTACACACTTCCTCAGTAGTGGGCCCAGCATGACCAGGTGGTTAAAGCACTCGACTCGTAATCTGAGGGTCGTGGGTTCAAATCCCCGTCACACTAAACACGCTCGCCCTTTCAGCCGTGGGAGTGTTATAATGTGACGGTCAATCCCACTATTCGTTTGTAAAAAGAGTAGCCCAAGAGTTGGTGGTGGGTGGTGATGACTAGCGTGCCTTCCCTCTAGTCTTACACTGCTAAATTAGGGATGGCTAGCGCAGATAGCCCTCGTGTAGCTTTGCACGAAATTCAAAACAAACAAACAAACAAACAATCAATCCTCGGTAGTAAGTAGTCCAACCCTAATATGCATTGGTTTTCAATGTCAGTCAAGCATACTTTGCGTCTGTCCTTTATGCTCATGAGCTCAATAGTTACCCACACTGGTCCTCACAACCTTGCAGAATGTCCTGTCTCACCACAGAGCTTCTATATGGCTTCTGGTACTCCTTTGTGATCCAGCACTTTGATACTCACAAGGGTTTGCTGAAATGCAGAATCTATGACAAAGTTGTACCTTTGATCATCCAGCTTTCCTGTCACATAGACACCATGTGTGCTTGGCATTTTACACCTAACTACTGGGACTTTCACGATGGGGTTGATGGGCATCCCTCAACACCAACCACTACTGGTCTCCCTGAGGCTGACTTATTGGTAGTATTCTTCTTACACTGGCTCCTGATATGTCCTTGCTCTCCACAGTTCCAACAACCTTTCTGGGTAGCACCCTTTCCTACCGTGGCATCTTCCCTGTGTTGAAGTTTCCAGCATTGAGCTTTCTTGTGCCCAGGTTTGTTACAATGCCAGCAAAGTCACTCAAACCTCTCTGAAAGCTGACCTTTTCTGGCCTTGAATCCTGATGACTGTATCAACCTTGGTACCTCTGTGTGCGACTTAACATAGGATTCGAATTCAAGAGCTCTGGCCATTGCATCCTGCATAGTAAAGGGGTGTGCTTGCTTTACTTGTTTCTTCAGTTGTGGACTGTCCAAGGCGTTTACAAACTGATCCATCAGCAACAGCTTGAGGACATTGGGTGGTGCAGTTGAGTAGGCCTTGTGTGGCATACTTTGCAGATCCTGTGCCAGCTCTTGCAGGCTCTCCCCTTTAGCATGGACTCTAGTCCTAAACCTAGCCCTGTAGACTTTGGACTGATTTTGAGTTCCATACCTGAGTTCTAAAGCAGCTACCAGTTCTCTAAAGTTGTGGCTGTCATCTGCTGACAACTGTCCAAGTATTTCCAGTGGTTGTCCCTTCAATTTCGTTTCCAGGTATACTGCTTTCTGCCCCTCTGTCCATCCATTTAAACTGTGCTCTATATGCTTCCCATCGAATTCCTGTGGCTTCCTTTGTGCTAGATCACCCATATTGCTGACACTTATGTCTTGAATGTGACTTCTGGCAGGAGTGAAGATGTATGCATTAGAGTTTGGCTGCGGGGTCTGGAAGGGGCTTCATGTTGTCTGGGGCTGATTAGGACCAATGTTGATATATCCTTCCTGCATAAAAGACAGTAAATCGTCCTTTAATGTATTTAATTCAATTTGAAATTTACTAATCTTTTCCATTTGTGTACTCTGGCTTTCTCTCAACTGTTGGAGACTTTCTTCTTGTTTATTTTCTTTCTCTTCCAACCATTGCTGTAGTCTCTCTTCTTGTCTATTTTCTTTCTCCTCCAACCATTGCTGTAGTCTCTCTTCTTTTTTATTTTCTCATTCCTCTTGTTTCCTTTATTTTTCCTCCAACAACTGCTGTAATCTCTCTTCTTGTTTCATTTCTTTTCCTCAAACCACTGCTGTAATCTCTCTTTATGTTTACTTTCTTTCTTCTCCACCCACTGCTGTAGTCTCTTTTTTTTGTTTATCTTCTCGTTCTTCTTGTTTCTTTGCTGTTCTTGTAATGCTGCCATCAAATCTGCTAAGCTGTAGTTTGATTTGCCACTTCTCGTTCCCATCTTCTTCTTCTTCTTTTCGTCCAACTCTCTGACACCAATTTGTTGCATATGTGCTTGTCTGATAATTTCCAGTAGAAATTCTTTCCGAGGAACTTCAGCGATACAAGTCCTTTCTTGATTAAACCAGTTTATTCTTTTGCAATACAAACTTTGTAATACACAGAATTTCCACAGTCAATACATTTCCTCGCTGCTTTACTTAACAACCTTTATAACACACGCTATAAATCACAGTGATTCACACACTTTACTTACGGTGCCTACTGTTCGCTTGACTCAATTATCTATCTCCTCAAACGCGCTGGTTTTTCTCACCAGGCTTATGTACTAGAAAGAAGGTGGCTCGAATGCACTCGGGCCTTTATGATCATTTGAGAAATTTCACACATGGTACCAGCGCCAAACGCACCAGCAGTGTCACGTGTCTTCCGCTCTCGTAACACTACGTTTTGTGCCTTTCTTATTGTGAAAAGTTTGAACGTGATGGAGAAAAATGTATATCATTTTCGGATTCAGCGTACAGGAATTACTGTAGAACA